GATTAATTATAACTCTAACTTGCAGTATTATTATTATCAAAATTTACGGGATGTGTTGAAGTGTCTCCTAGGTCTTATTCGTTTATCTATGACAGATGTGATATAAAACGTAGATAATATATGCTTCTGATAGATTCTTTAGCATAGACTTAGTTAATCGTACTGATGACAAACATATAGATTTTGACATGTTTTCAGGAATTTTTGATGGACATAGAACCAATCATATTTCATAAAAATTGAATCAATATAAAAAAGAAATTAAAATATTTTGTATAGGTATGACAAATGTTCGTTTCTCATCATTAGCGGATTATCGTGATATTGAAACGACAAATTTTCAGAGTGACGCAACACAATCAGGTTTGACATTAGAAGAAATTATGGCTTCTATCTATGCAAAATCACGAGATAATGCTCGTACGCCAATGCAATGGTCGGCTAATTTACCACATGCTGGTTTTACTAATGGTGTAGTTGATGTAACTCCATGGATAAATGTTAATTCAAATTATACCGATATTAATGTTGAACAAGCTTTAAATGATCCACAATCATTATTTTATTTTTATCAAAAACTTATTCAATTACGTCGAGCAATGCCAATTATTGTACATGGAAAATATGAAATTTTACATGAAGAAAATACACATGTATTTATGTATAAACGTTATGATGATAATGGACAAGAAATAATTATTGCATGTAATTTTAGTCAACAGCCAATTATAATTGATGATGCACAACTTAATGAAAAAATTCAAAAACGTAAACAAATATTAATTACGAATTATGAAGAACATTTAAAATCAGATTGGTTGGATTTTCGGCCATATGAAGCATGGGCTATAGAAATCTAATTAGTTTTAAATGTTGTGATTTTATTTTGATCTAGTCTTATACGAATTATTAATAGAGAAGTGTGTAATTTCTTCTTTCAAGTCTTTTTTCTATGTTGTTTTATGTGAAATATATATATATATATAACACAAAATTTTAAATAAAAATCTCAATATGCTTTACTTGTATACAAAAAACTTTCTTGATTTATTCACAATGTAAAATAATCAAGAAAAGGTTATGAAACTATTGACCATCGATGGAATCATATGAAAAGTCAACAGTAATCTTTATTCAATAACTCATTTGAAAGTATCAATAGTTAATTATATACTGAATTAAAAATGTTTTTGACTTATTATTACCGATATTTTTAAGCTCTATCGCACTTAGTCGCTTCTAAGCTTTTAAATAAGAATAGACGAATTATATTAAAATAAACAGTTTTTTTTGTTGTCTTTCTTAGAACATGCTCACATGTCTGAAGTAACTAAAGACTACTTATTGTGTAAACTTGATCTTGATAATATGTTTCAGAGTTTATTAATATGAATCTCCACACATGTACAATAGTAAATGATTGAAAGTGACCAGACATAGTATTGAGAATGAACTGTATCATCCTTAAACTTCTAGTTACACTACTATTGGAAACTATATACTTAATTTAAATTCTATTTATATAACTAGTAAAATTTAATATACAGAATATTAGTTTTGTGTTGAATGTAATATAATTCATCAAAATATAGTTATAATAGCACTTAATTCGAGTATCAACTTTTATTTAATGCAATGTGAAGCAAAGCATTTATGTAGCCTGTCTTACTATCTCGATGTACGTATTCAAAGTTGTCATTTTGTGTTACGATTATCTCAGCAACGAAATATCGAAAATTTCCCGTTTAAACGCAAATTGTAAATATCGAACTGATACGATTCGTTTACATGAAGTGTCGCAAAAACACAATTTTGACTTTTTCAAATTTTGAGATAATTAAAACGAAAAGCAGAAGCAAAAGTTAAGGATCACTTTTCTTTCACTACTATCTTACAGCTGATAATATATGTAGTAATACTATATAAATACAAACTGACTACTTTTATATCTTGAAAATGTGAATGGACGTGAGTAATTAGAATATATCACACACCCTAAAACTAAGTCATGAGCTATTTTAACAATTGATTCAAATCATTCAAAAATACTGGTTCATCATATGTTTTTCGTTCGTAAATATCGCTAACCCAAAGCTCAACATAAACATAATCTCGCGATAAAATACAAATATACTTTATACAATGTACAGATAGAAGATAGTGCAGAAATAAAAAACATACACTGATGTCCGATTATATTAATAATCTAATAAAAAAATTAATTTCAATTGTACTATCATATATAGTGAAGAGAATGGTCGTTCATAAACAAATTGCATTCTCTTTATTGTTTTAACCTAAGCAAAAGAAGTTGGTTACATATAAAAATGAAAATTGTGTGACAATAGTATTACATGTCAATGAGTTATTCTCCAATTTGAAAAATTTGAATAATTTTATATAGTTAAGTTATTCATTGCACATTATATTTCTTTTTTCGTTTAGTATTAAACATAAACACAGGTGTTTCATACAGAGAAGATCTATATTTATACAAGTACATCAAATTTTTACTATTGCTATTCAAAATCTGAAAGTAAATTGTACAGATAATTTCGCAAATTATAAACAGTTAAGTTCTTTATGTAAATATTTCATAAGATTATATGTGATAGTTTTCAGAAATGAATTTTAGTCGAATATAAGCGACTTCTAAAAGAAAACACAAACATATAGAATGAATTATTATTTCTGTTCCTATATTAAAGAATAGTTCTTACCATTGATAAACTCATCCATATTAAATAAATAGAATACCTGTATATATACATAGTGTTTCACTTACATTAATAGTAAGGATAAATTTCCTTTTGACAGATCTTAATGCAAATCAATAGATATTCGTTAACTTCGAATAACAAATATGTTTTGATAATATTGAGTCAAAAGATTCTATGTTTACTGTATGTTACAATAAATAAGTATTTATCAATTATTATAGAAAACAAGAAGATTATTTTATATAATCAAGAGAAATATTATTTAAACTTATCTATTTCATTCATAATTTGTTCATATCAAACATTTATGTATAGAATTCCTGAAATAATTTCATAGAATTTGAGAAGAGATTATAAGTAGTATTTCTCATTGATTATGAATGCAGGTATATTGATTATCTTCTGGAAACATTAGTAGATTGTGTTAATCTTTGATCATTGATGATTTTCTCAACATGTTTCGAAAGTTTGCGAGAAGAAGCAGATGATCCGAACATTAAAAAAGAAAATCTATTTGTAAAACCGATATTATAAATGTTAATTACTCATAAACATTTTGCATACATTTCTGTGTTTCAATAACTTAAAGAATTCGTTTACATTCAATTATTAATTAAACACCATGCAAAAGAAGATAATTATCTAGTTGCTCGCTCAATTGATGAGTTTGATCGAGATCATGTGCAACGTAGTATCGTTGTAATTAAAATCAGTCATGCAAATATAGCTTCCGCAGTAGTAACAGGATGAAAGTTTTAACTTATTCTATAAACAATTCGTTACCGTTTAAAAAAAAGTTTATTAATCGTTTCTGCAAGTGTTTTTCTTATGATCACGGTTTCATATATATATAAGAAAATTCTTTTGAATGTCAAGACTTACTAACTATTGAAGTCTTAAATACATAATCATCAGACATCTAGACTTAGTTTTTCTACTCAAGATTCCTTATTCATCATGTACAAAATGAAAAATAGCTTGCCGAAATAGTTGTATCTAAAGAAAATCATTTAATTATTTTAATAGATCTTTAAATAAATAATTTTCTTGATTTAAAAATGTCCATGAAAAATATCCATTTGAGATTGTATTATATCAACATAGAATCTTTTCTTTAAATCTTCAATATCATTATTTGGAAAAAAAACAAATAAAAACTATATTTTCTTTATATTGATTATCTTTATCTTTATTCGAAATTAATGTCTTCATGATTCATTGTACCTCATCCGTTACTTCTACTTTTTTCTCAATAAATAAAAAATAAAAATTTGTTTTATTTAGTATATAGTAATATTCTTTCTTTGCCATTGTTCACATCGATGTCCACTCCAACCTTGTCGACAAGTACATTGATAAAAACCTGTACATCGTCCTTCATTCAAACATGGAAATGGGCAAAATACTACAATATATATATATACATAGATAATTTTGATAACAAATTTTTTTCATATTTTACCGTTTTCACATCTCTCATTACAAACACATTTACCATCTAAACAAATTTCATTTGATTTACATGTATTACCACATTCATCACAAAAATCTGTTTTACAAACACATTTTCCATTGATACAATGTTCATGAGGACGACAACCATTTCGCCGTGTACCACACATACATATATCCGATACACATAGTTCACCTTTACCGCATTTACCTTGTAATCCACAACTACATGATGAATTATAACAACGTTCACCTATTTCACAAACTTCATAACATCCACGATCATGTTCACATAAACCTAATACAATAGAAATATGATCGAATTTTATTAATAATCGATTATTGACTTGCCTTTATAACAACCACATTTACCATCTATACATACTTGACCAGGTCGACATGATACCGGGCAATAAGGTGCTAAATTGTATTCACATTGTCGATTGATACATTGTATCCCCGATGGGCAGGGTGGATTACAACTATTATCATTTTTTTCTACATTCCAATTGCTGCCTGTATTTGTCCATGTACATTCTCCATCAATACATTCTTCATCGTCATCACATTCAGGATCACACATATCTGGATTCAATTGCGTTTGTTGTCTTAAGCAAACACCAGTTTTTTTGTCACATAGTTCACATTTTATTGTACATGGATTATCTGATTAAAACAAATCATCTATATATATTTTATTCAAATACTCTAGAAATCTCACTTACATTTACAAATTGGTGGTAATGGATACCATTCTGATGGTACCATACAATACGCACGACTAACACCAATAAGTTCATAACCAAAATTACATTCGTAGTCTACAGATGATCCAATTTCGTAATCAGATACCTGATATCTTCCACCATGAATTGATGCAGGCTCCGAACAACCTAGTCACAGTTATTATATTATATTTAGTTAACTAAAAACAATGAATTTCTTACCAGAACAAAATAAGGAACTTTTTAATTTCTTTGTATCAATTTCTATATTTTCCGGTATTTTTGACCATGAAAATATATCTCCATTTTGTTTTCGACAATCTCGATAACTAACTAATAAATGTTGTTCAGCTATTATTTCATTCCAAATTTCTAATCTGGTTATATAACCATGAAATAATTGACCAAATAAAATCAAGGATGAAACATCTAATTAAATAAAAATAAAACGAAATCATTATTTAATAAAGCTTACTTGCTTTTAAAATCAAAGTTCACGATTCGAAAATCAAATGAGTGTTGTCGTGCACCATCAATATATAAATATGATTGCTTTGTTTTAATTGAATATGTCCACGCAAAATGATTCCATTTTGAAACAGGAACTTTAACAAGAGTTGGTTGAGTTTGATTTCGTGATGAATGATAGAAAACAAGTCTGTTTATTACATTAAAAAAAAACGCTCATCTGTGAAACAACTTACTTGCTTTGTCGAACAACAATTTCGAATACTTTTTCATGCTTATTTTTTCGTAATGAAATTAATGTAGCATTGGTAGTATTTTCCAGATAGAACCAAAATATAATAGTGAATTGAAATGGTTGAAAAGATGATAAAATAATACCCGTATCATTCTTGTTGATACTCAAAATATAATTTGAATAATCTTTTCAAAATTCAAAAGATAGTAATACATTTCAAAAGAAAACCCTACCTTGATATGATGTCATGGTTGTTATTAACGGTGTCGTCGAAGTTGTATTAGTCATTACTTGTGTAGTGGTTTCATTGTTGACTAAAGAGAAATGCAGTTGATTATTTTATCTCTAGATTTGCAATACTTACCAATACAAAATTGTTTATAACCTGACCATATACCTAATATCAAACATTCACGTGTATGTGGTCCAAGTAGTCGGTAACCATTTTCACTACAACGTGCTCGACATTTTGTACCGAATTTAAAATGAGTACTATTTTCTTGTTCAGGTAAACATTCTTGAATTACATCACTATTACTTTTCAACGGATCGCATCGAATTTCTATAGAGATAATCAATAAAATCTATTCGTTGTAAATAAAATATTAAACCTTCACATTTTGGTTGATATCCTGTCCAAGTTTTGTCTTCTTGACATTCACGAAAACTATCTCCATCGACAAGTCGATAACCTGGGTTACATCCAAGACCACATAGTGAACCTACTTTTCGTTCGCAATAACCCGAAAAGAAAAATCCATGCTGTGGTAATTTTAACATAGGACATAAACTTGTCTAATATTTCAAAAAGGAAAATCTTAGAAATAGAATGTAAATATCTTAACATACGCAAACAACGCCAATATTTATTATTTTCAGTATAGTAAATACGAACGAGAAAAACATCCTAAATCGATTATGCTATTTGGCCTTTGATCGTTGTTTTACAATAAAGTGTCACAAGGCATAAGACATATTTATACATTAATGTATAGAAAAACAAAATAATAATATATCCTATATCAATTCTTACCCAAAATGTAATAATGCCTGTTTTTTTGCCTATTCTGTTAACCATCTGTTGTAGCAGATATACAGACGTTCTCTGAAAAGACTTAATCATATGAAAAACTATTTGATTGTCTTGAGAAAAAGAAAATCTCTTATTATGAATTCCTTAAAGAATTCTTTGACCTTTGTATCGAAGAACTATATAAGATTCACGACTATAGATTAAAAATCAATTTATTACAATAAAATAAATATGTCTAAAATAAGAATATAATGGGTTCACAATTCTATTCTATATAAACTATTTAAAGATCTGTTAGTCCATATGATGCACAATTCATTTCATTAGGATAACTATATTGATCATCAAATTCAAGATGACGAAAGGCATTCGATGGTATAAAAGATCGATCGTCAATACCATCTCGATTATATTTTGTTCGTCTTGGAGAACGATCTTCAAGATGACGAAATGATTCCGTATCAACATAAGATCTTGTATCAATCGATGGACCTATTGATGAATGTATCGATTTATTTCCTGAATCAAAATCTAAACCTTCAATATATCGAAAAGCATCTGGATTAACATAGGATCGTTCATCGATACCACCCTCAATATTATTTTTCTTTTCTACACGTCGTTCAATATAACGAAATACTTGTGGATTAACATATGAACGTTCATCAACATCAGGTCCATCTGCAACACGACGTTTTGTTTCTTTTCGTTCAATCCATTTAAATGCTTGAGGATTGACAATTGGACGATAATCAATTGATGATTCAGCTGCTTCACGTTTTGATGGTGTTCGTCTTTCAATATATTGAAAAGCATTTGGATTAATTATAGATGTTGAATCAACACCTGAATAAATATCACGATGAGGTGAAGAAGAATTATTTGTTTCTAAATAACGAAAAGCATTTGGATTAACAATTGGTTTACTATCAATTCCACTTTCAATAGTTTTCTTTGTTGGTATATCTCGTTTTTCAATATATCGAAATGCATCTGGATTAATAATTGGTCGACTATCAATCGATGGTTCGTTGAATTGATTGATTAGTTTTTTTTGACGTCGACCATCTATATATCTTAAATCAATTATAAAAAACAGTGTTGTTTTGTTAAGAATAAGAATAAAGATAAATTACTTGAATGCATCAGGATTTGTAATCGGTCTATCATCAATCCCACTTTGTATATGTTGACCTTGTCTGTCATTTTTATTAGTTCTTCCTTCAATATAACGGAAAGCATTGAGATCTACAATCGGACTATCATCAATTCCACTAGCAATACGTTGACTTGGTCTTTCATTTTTATTCATCCTTGTTTCAATAAAACGGAAAGCATTGGCATCTACAATTGATCTATCATCAATTCCACCTTTTGATCCATCATCACCACGTAATCGATTATTCTTTTCCAATTGTTGCTGTCGACGTCGTTCTAATTGTGCAACAGCATCAAGATTAATTATAGGTCGTGAATCAATACCACTTTCAATTTCATTTGGTCCTGTCTTCTTTTTTGTTCGTCGTTCATTTAAATTTAAAAATTGAAAAGCACTTGGATCAATAATTGGAGAATCATCGATCTCTGCACGTGTATCTTTTCGAGCAAAATTATTTTGTTTTCCATGAGGAGGATAATGTGATCGTGGTGGTAATTGATTTGGATTTATTGTTAATGCAGGATTAATACGACGTGATTGTGCTGATTGAGAAATATTAGTTTTTTTAAATCCTGAATGATGTTGAGAATATCCGTGTGGATTTGTTGAACGATGTTCAACGAAAGAAGGTTGAGGAATGGGATAAGAATTAGTTGGTCGATTATTGTCATAATAAATATTATAAGTGGCAGTTGATGTTGTTGTTGTTTGTGGATGTTGATATCCACCGCCACGCATTGAATACATCATTCCAATGTGTAAAGAAACTGTAATAGAATGAGAATCAACAGAATAACAGTATATGAGAAAGAGCGATTTAGAGAAAAACAGACTATCATGTATTTTCTCTTGCTCTATGCATAGATATATTTTTCTTTTTCCTTTTCTGTCTGTTGTTGACTAAGTGAGTATAGAGGCACACAACAAATTAGTCTTACTGAAGATACCAAAAATAAGTCAAAACAGTCGCGTTTTACTCCGATATATATGTATATATCAGTATTCTGTGTGCTAAAAAAACATGATAGAAATGGATGTTCGACATTTTTTCTTGTTGGTATCTGCCAGAATGGTTCTATCACACATTTTATATTCGATCATTATCGTTACGTTTGTTAATGATATATTAAAGATAGATTCTATTAAACTTTTGTCTATTTGACAGACATCATCAATTTTGTTCTTCTTAATTACCAAAGTAATTTCATCATTGACACAATGTACGGAATGTTCCTTATTCACATAATTTATATTTTTAAGTTTTCTATTACAGCATTGAAAATGAATGAATTTGTTATAAAAATATTTCCTATACGACTGAATTCTTAAACTTTATTTATCTAAATTCAAGTTTTAATAATCAACGAAATCGTCTAGAGATATTTTTATTTTCTTTCATATAAATTGAAATATATATTATCAATAAATAATAATTAATGATCACTACAATTATTAGAAAAAAAGACGTGATTAATTAATTCCTCGCATAATCTTTGATATTTTTTAAATTTAAATTAGTACGACAATTTTATTTATATTAAAATAGTATTTTGATCAAAGACAAATACGTAATCTTCCATTAAATATCGACTATATTCATACTTAGTTGAACTTTGATAGCCATCCAGGCATGGTCGAACTGAATTTTATTTATTGGGTTATATCGTACAGAATATTTTTTTGTCTAAAACTCGATAGATGTCCATATCTATTACCTTTAGATAGTATAATACCTTATCCTATGTTTATTAGTTTATAATAGTGTATTCGTTCTTTATCTTTGATGATAAAAGAAAAGAAAAACACTCCATGTTTTCTTATTCGTACAAACTTCGTATATTTAATAGATTATTATGACATCATCAGCAATCGAAGTTCGAGAATTACTTATTTATCCGATAAAATCTTGTGCTGGTATATCAGTAAATGAAGCACAAACAACAAAATATGGTCTATCTCTTCCATCGAATTCTTTACTATCTGATCGGTAAATATCATATATTTTAAAAATGCTAAATTAATCATCAAGCTTTATTCTATCTAGACGATGGATGCTTGTAAAAGATGGTCGACAAAGAAATCAACGTCATCTCTCTCGAATGGCATTAATTCGTCCGTCATTTACATCATTAGGTCTTCAAGTTGATGCACCTGGAATGACACCATTAGTTATTCCATATAGTCCATTACCAGATGATATAATTGACATCGAGTATAAATTATGAATTTCGATTGTTCTAGTAATATTTTTACTTTAAAAGGGAACTTAGTGTTAAAGGTCGACGATATGGTCTAAAAGTTTCCGATTGGTTTTCAACATTTTTAGAAACATCTGAAATAGATTTAGTTTATTTTGACGAACAATTTGAACCACAACATACAAAAAATATTGAACCAGAATATCCAAATGAAGCTCTTGATTCTGATGTTGTAGCTTATCAAGATATGAGTCCATTTCATTTAGGTTCATTAGAATCAATTGATGATCTTAATAAAAAATTAGAAGATCCGATTAAAATATATCGCTTTCGTCCAAATATTATAGTTAGTGGTGTTGATAAACCATATGGTGAAGTAGGATATTTCTTATACTTATTTATAAAACATTAGATTGATGAAATATATAGGATTATTGGCGAGAAATTCAGATCGGTGATCAAGTTAAACTTCGTTGGTTTCGATCGGCTTTAAGGTATAAAACAAATATTTAATAATATTGATCAAAGTTTAGAAATATTATTTTAGATGCTTATTACCAACTGTAAATCAAGAAACAGGTGTTCGTGATCCAAAACAAGAACCATGGAAAACACTTCAAACGTATTCTTTTTTTTTTGATAACATTCTTTTTCTTTTAATGTTCGTTTTAAATGATATAGATATCGTCGTAAACCAGAATTATATGGTATTAAAGCTCAATTTGGAACTTATCTTTCGTCTATTGAACATGGAATTATTCGTGTTGGTGATCGAGTTCATATTTTACGAGAAGATAAAGACTTTTAGTTTTGTTTTCCTATTGATTCCATCTAAAAATAAATCTTTCTTATTAGAAACAGATATATGTATTTGAATTGAAGTCATGGCAACGAATTATTTTGATAATGAAGTTTTTCTCTTCTATCTGAACATTGCTAGATTACAACCAAAAACTATTCAATATTGAACATGAAAGCAAAAAGATCTGTTTGTCATAAATGACTGTACACCGTGTTTTATGTAGTGGGTGGGCTGAGTGGGTGGCGCCCAACAAAAATTTTGATTCGCCCACTCAAAAAAAGAAAGTTAGACAAAGGCACTGATAGGTGCCGCCTACTCAGAATTTTCATTTCACCCACCCAAAAAAAGAAACCTTTCTAACATGAATATTCAATTAAAATTAATCTATGCATATAATTCTTCGAATCAATCAAGAACTTATATTCATCTATTTTCTTATTTTATTTCAATATATATTTCTATCTTATAATCAAATGAACTAGACACGCACACACACATACATAAACACAATTTCGATATATCGAATAGAGAATACACATCTTTAAAGATACAAGTTCTCGTACATAAACATAAATGAAGAATAAATCAATCATTAATGCAAATAACAAGTACTACACAATAAACAACGAAACAAAAAAAACAAATAAGTGAAAACATATACAATTATTCAATTTTCAATAAGTGCGGATGAATTTATTTTTTTTATTGTGCATTTGGTTTAGCAGCTGGTTGAGGTAAACTTCCTTGAACTGGTGTTTTCTTGCCAATAAGTGACTAGAATAAAAGATAAGATTAATTAATTGAATAATAAAATTTAAGTAGCAAACCTTATGGATGTGTGGAATAACACCACCACCAGCAATTGTTGCCTTAATTAATGTATCCAATTCTTCATCACCACGAATAGCTAATTGTAAATGACGTGGATTGATACGTTTTACTTTAAGATCCTTTGATGCATTACCTAAAAGAAAATAAATTAATTAATAAAATTTTATTTTTTATCTAATCTTTTACCAGCAAGTTCAAGAACTTCAGCAGTTAAATATTCAAGAATAGCTGCAGTATAAACAGCAGCTGTTGCACCAACACGACCATGTGATGTGGTACGTGATTTTAAATGACGATGGATACGACCTATTCATTGTAAAAAAAAATTAAATCGAAAATAAACTAAAATATAACACTTACCAACAGGAAATTGAAGACCTGCTCGAGCACTTCGAGAAACTGATTTTGCTTTTGTTTTACCATGATCTTTACCTAAACAATGGAATACATAAATAAAAATAAAAGTAAACAATCAATATTACTTACCAGCTTTACCACCAGGCATTTTAGTATTAAAGAATAATAATTTTTATTTGACGAATCTAGAAGTAGATAAAATTATAGTTTGATTTTATTCATTAAAATCACGAAGAAAAAACGTCTATATTTCTTGAAATTTCGCTGTGAAATGATCATGAATGCGACAATAGCAAACGTTATTCTTTCAAACAAAGAATATGAATCATGAGAAGACAATGACAGTCCAATTCTCTTCTCTTTCTAACCTAACCATTGTGTTAAGCAGTGAAATGGTCGGAATCAGTCGAGACTTTCTTCTCTTTTCTGTCTAGAATATACGAAGAAAAAAAAAAGAGAAAAGCATGAACGCGCGTTACTGGCCGTCCTGTAATGAATGTTCGACCGCGCTTTGCTTACTTTTCATCGGTCATAGCCTATTCAGAGAGAGAGAGGAAGAAGAAAAAAAAAAAAAGAAGAAGAAATGTGTGTCAATAAACACACCAAGAATTTGAAATTTAATTGGATTCGCTCATGGAAAATTTGAAATCAATGTGCTATTGAAAAGCAGTTATTGAATGACAATTTTTTTTTGATCTATAACTAATCATAAAGCTGCTGTTATATCTCTGATTTATGTTATTTTTTTCCTTACATCGGTATAGATATCAGTAGAAAATGACAGACTGCTTCATGTATTGGTATAAATTATCTTTCAGGTTTCACATCCTGCAGCAGTACTTGAACGTTCAATACGTCATAAATATTTGTCAAGCAATACAGTAATAATCCGAGATATTTACAAACATAATTTAGCTCATAATAGAATCTAAATAAATCTATATAACAGCCATTTAATAGAAGTCGTGACTATATAACATGAAGAAAATGCTTACATCTTACGTAAGATTTTTTTCTGAAGCAAAAAAAGTAGTCCGAAATAAAGTATTTACGTTTTGTATTACTTTTAACAAGAAGATAAAAAAATCTTCTGTTTGATCAAAAATGACAATAGTTCGACAACTAGATGTTTCTTTAGAATGCACACGCACATATCTTGACTTTCATTCATTTTTGTACGATTCAATGTATGAATAAGATTGTGTACAATCTCAAGAAGAACTGAATATTGAATCATATACAAACAAAATGAAGAGAAAAATAAATACATATAGCAAGAATAATGATGCAAATCAAAAACGAAGATTCGAACATTTTAGTAATACATCACAGATGAAGACAAAAAAAAATAACATCCAAAAAGATTAGTATTAATATTGTACCATTTAGTAACTTTGTCATCAATCATCGTCAGCTCCAGGATGACGATGACGAGAACGTTCTTTTTGACGAGCAGAAAAAGCATTCCATGCAGCTGAACGATTTGATTCACCATCAGGTTTTCCATCAACTACATATTGTTGACTGTTATTATCAACAGCACCATACGACTGTTCATTCCATTCTTTTTCAAGTTGCCACCCATGTTTATAATCCGAACGATCATGAAGAAATTTACAACTATCCCCAAAACCACAATAACCTAAATATAAGAATTTAATTTTAATCTAATTTAATTTCTATTACAAACCTGTTTCTTTATAATCTTTGCAAATATCTGGTTGATAATCCCAACGAACTGAAACACGAAGATGTGCCGGTGCACGAATTGGACCTAAATATAATAAAAATATAATTTACATGGAAAGTTTAGAATCATTATCTAACCTTTATTTCGAACAAGACCACTACTTGCATTTCCTTGTGCTGTATCTTTTTTCTCATAAAACTGTTGATAATTATTAATACCACGATAGATTTTATCATCTGCTTTTCCTTTCAATTCTTCATTAATTTTCTTTGCACGTTCAAATATTGTTTGTTGATCTCGTTGTGTATCAGTATCAATTTCTACAGTTGCAGTTGCACCCATATCACTTGGACCTTGTGTTTGTGCTTGTCGATCAGATTTAAATTTAACTTCAATTGATTTTTCTTTATTATTTTGTTGTTCTTCATCATCATCATCACCACTTCCTGTAGTTTGTTGACGACGTTTATTCGATGATTTACTCGTAGTTGTTGATACTAAACCTTTTCTTGTTGGTTTTGAAGTACGAAATGTTGATGCTGATGGCTGACCTTCATCATCGGACGATGATGATGATGAAGAATTTGACGGTGATTCTTGACGACGTTTAGAAGTTGTTGCAGGATTTCCACGACGAATAGGAGCTTTGAAAAACACACATGAAGGTGCTTTATCGTCGTTTTCAGCACTCATTATCTGAAAAATACATCATAATGTTAATAAAAACAAGTTTCCTAAAATTAATGAGACTGAAATTCTAAAAATTTGATTCTTTACATCTATAATCTAACACACAAAATCCGAATTAATTAATTCATTCTATACATGTTGACCTTTGTTTTCAACACTTCTTAATGTCTTATTTCTAACTTATAAAGTTCAAGGTCATGATTATAAAAATCAAACAGATAAATAAATTTTTTTCTAAATATTTATTCATAGAATTGTATTTCAATTAGTAAGAGAGGAAAAAAAACAGATTGTGCTGAGAAAATCTATTACAGAGCAAAAAAAAAGAAAGCGCATAACAAAAAAAAATTGAACAAGATGTATTATGAGTGATATATATGTATATATATATATGTAGAAAGAAAAGAAAAAGCCAAAACGCACAGAAGTAAAGTGTATTCTAAAAAATAGTGGTGATGGTAATGTGAGAAATAAGAAATCATTCACGTGTGCAAATCTATCTGACATTTGTTCTCGGAAGATCATTTGAATGAATTAACCTGAGTAAAAAAAAAGGTGCAGTATTGAGAAGATTATTGCATAGAATATGTATATCTAACAAAAAAAAATTAATTGCGCCGAGAACAAATGTGAAAAACAAAAATATATATAGGCGAATTATTTATTTCTTTTTCGTGCCTTTTTTCATTGTTTCCATATTAGCACGTTTACGTTGTTCAAATAAATTCATTTCTTGTTCAAGTATACGCCATTTTTCATCACATTTATCCTTGTGATCTTTATAATTTTTTTTAATATTTGTTAATTGTTCATTTATCTTTAGAAGAAAAGAAAAAGAATTCGAAATAAAAAAAAAAATTATTTTTTTCCTTTACCTGTTTTTCTGTTTCTTTTAATTCTGCTTCTTTATCTTTAACTTTTTGAATGAAAGCTTCTTTAAGTTGTTGTTCACGTAGTTCAAGTTCATGTCGAAGATCATTACGTTTCATATCAAGTGTATCACTTATTGACATTTGTTTACCATCAACATTATCAGCAAGACCAAGTTCGCCAAGACGATTACGTCGAAACATTTCATAATGTTTTGAATGTGTTGTTTCAATTAAATCAAGCATATTTTTTTCAATAAGACTATCACGTAATTTTTTAAAATCACAATGATTTTCATTTTCAACTAAAATAAAACAAACGAGCGTTTAAAAGTAAATTAATAAGCTTTGATGTCTAGTTTTACTCATGCATATTTTCCCCCGAGAAACTATTAGATTAAGTTAATTACTATTAGAACTATTCAGCTAACATACGGAAGTCATTTCATATATATTTCAATAAAGATAAAAGCTCCGAGAATGCGGCAACCTATGTAAAGTTCATATCATGTCAAGAATAATAAAGCTTTAAGTAGTGGGTGGACGGTAGGGACCTGCGGAGTCAACTTTTTTTGACTCCGACTCTGTTGGAGTCATAATCAGGTTTCGAAGTACTCCGGAGTTCCCTTGTGGGCAGCGCCCACCCAAAAAATGAGACTTCGAGATATGAATGGAACAATTTTCAAAGCCATGGAATATTTTTTACTTTAGTAATGCATAGAATAAAAACATCACTTAGCTAAATTCAATAATAGATTGAAACAACGGAAAATTTATTATTAAGATAAAATCTTTTCTTACCTTGAACAACACCCCATGGATATTGTCTAGCACGTACATATTGATTTCCAACTTTAACTGTTTCATTACTTCCAACAACCGCTAATGGAAGAAGATTCTAAAAATAAATAAAATTTTTTCTTATTAAATATTTTGTAATAATATTTTAGTTTACATTAGCTTTAAGATTTTCTTCTGCTAATGTTTCATCATCAGTTGGAAAACGATAAATTTTCACACCAGCTGTATTAAGTTCATTGAGAATATTTTGTTTAAAACGTTGTAATTCACTTTTTGATATTGTATCAGATTTAGCTATAATTGGTATTATATTAACTTTACTATCTAAATGTTTCATTGTAACTAAATCAAGTGCTTTTAATGAATGACCTGTTGGATTAATAAAATATAAACAAACATGTATACGTGTATCATGATAATTTGATAAATTTCGTTTGATTTTAAGTTCTTCATCTAAATAGGATTGAAATTGGGAATCAATAAAATCTCCAATAACTTTAAATGAATCATCTTTATTGATTTGATCACCAAAACCAGCTGTTTCAACAACAGTTAATTTTAAACGTATTTCACGTTCAAATAAATCATATGTATTTTTACGTAAAAATACACGTGGTATATCATGTGTTGATGGTGTTGAATCTAATCGTGTATTAAATAAACTATCAAGTAATGATGATTTTCCACATGCTGTTTCACCAACACAAAGTATATTAAAAACAAACCCATCCGATATAGCTTTAGCCATAATTTGATTTGGTAAATTATTAATTCCACATTCTTCTTTCAATTCAAATGTACGAATTGATGGTGTCTAAATTTCGAAAGACAAAAAAAAATTATGAATAAAAAAATAAATAATTTAATCATACCTGAGGTTTTAGTACGGATGGGTCAACGGGACGTAGAACGTCTTTCATTGTTTGTTGATATTTATATAAGAATTTTTACACGATGAGCAAAGGATGATCGATTAATGATTGATGAATCCATTGGCATTTCGTAAGAGTAATAAGAATGAACCAATGAAAAAACAACTGTTTTTCTCTTTGTATCTATTGTGATTAACATTCGATGTAGTACGACATCTAGAATTATTATTCACAACATGGAACAACTTGTGTTTTATTAATCGATTCAAAGATCTTTTGTATTTCATCGCTTATCGTACTTCTATAGAATAATTATCTTCAATCTATTAGTTTTTAATTAGACTCATATCCTATCATTATTGAATCTTTGGTATTAAAATTTTGTCTATATTAGATTGTGCATTGATCATTACGAGTAAAAAAGAGATATTTATTTAAAGGTTTCATTAATCCTTTGTTGATCATCAGTAACTGGAGTTATTTTGATATAATAATAAAACATAGATTTATGCATTTTGTGAAGAAAGAATTTGACTTAACTGATAAATATCAAGGTTTTCATCGTGTTCTTCGTACATAGATTTTAAATTTTCAGTCAATTCATCTAGTTAGGTAGTATATATTTATATCTTCAGTAGTAATACGTGTTACTATATCAAAACTTTTGTATTTTTCTGTTAAAAAAACTTGAATAAATTGATAATAAACGAAATTTACAATTATCTGACTATTTTCTATTGACATAACATGTCGTTTTGTACTTATCCTTGAAAGGGAGTATCTGCATACGCGCGTATTCTATCATCATTTAAATATAAGAAACGAAAGAAATAAGAAGGCGACTACATTACATCATTCCTACGACAAATAAAATCTTTTTATTGTAATTATAGTTCACTTAAAAAATTAAAATTACGAAAAAATTTCTTTTTTTTTCGTAATAGAAAAGTAAATGGATGCATTCATTAAAGAACTAGTTAAATGGCCAGTGGTTTTACGTCTTCGAACACTAAATAATGATGATGAACATGTTGATAGACTTAATCATCGGGTAACAGTTGGAATAATACTTATTGCTGTTTTTATAACTTCAACAACACCATTTATTAGCAATCGAATTTCATGTTGGTTACCAACAGAACTAAAACATAGCAGTTATAGTAAATATATTGAACATTATTGTTGGATCAGTAATACGTATTATATACATTCAAACGTTACTCCACCACATTCTGATGATGATAGACGAGCGTTACAAATAAGTATGTAAATATTTGATTAGTGTGCTTCTGAAAATAAATTATTATACTGAAGATATCATGAAAAAATGTTGACTTTAATCTCAATATATCATAAAATCTAATCAAGATCATTTTTATTTTTATCGAATAATACATTTTATATATGAAGATTCTCTATTTGCTTTTCTACCGTATTTTTTATTTGCGTTTTGTCAAATGTTGATTGACATAAGATACGAAAGTGCAAAAAAATCGATAAAATATTATTATCGAAAGCACAGAGATGTGCCGCAAATAAAAAAGTGAAGAGGGGGAGGGGTGCGCACATCCCTGGAAAAGCATAAATAAGTTTCCAAAGGTAAATGAGTTTATTGACTTTAGTCTCAATTCAGTGGCGGATTTAGAGGAGGCGATGGGGGCAATCGCCCCCCTTCCGAATTTTTTTTTGATTTTTTACAGCAAAAATGAACAAAAAAATAGGTTCACACTACTTCGGTTGGACTCAAAAAATAGCTTTTAACCAAAATCGCCCCCTCCCTCTCCAGGTATCGCCCCTCCATACTAAAAACAAAAAATCGCCCTCCGCCTTCCAAAGTCCTAGATTCGCCACTGTCTCAATTTCACTCTAAATTAATGTAGGTGCGGAACAGAAGTTTTCTAAAGTCATATTCTTATCTTAAAGGTTATTATCAATGGGTACCTATTCTGTTAATATTAATGGCCTTATGTTTTTATGCTCCTCGAATGTTCTGGCGTTCATTTAACGCTCATTGTGGTATTGATATACAAAATCTCGTAAAAAAAAGTCAAATTTCATCAAAAAATTCGGTAAAAAATGCTTCGGCAATGCTTAATTATTATTGTCAATCATTTAAATATAAACGTTCAAAACTTTCAATTAATATGCCAGCTTATATTCGTCATAATAAACATCGAGGAAATTATTTATTTTCTCTTTATTTTCTAACACGTTTTATGTATTTAATAAATTCAATATTTCAATTGATTTTACTTAATCTTTTACTTGGTCATCGTGGTAATGCATGGTTTCTTGATATTGATATAATGAAATCAATATTTCGTTATGGTAATCCATTACTTGATTCACCTTATTTTCCTCGTGTTACACTTTGTGATGTACCTATACGTGAAATAGCCGAAATTCATCGTTATACAGTTCAATGTGCATTACCAATAAATATTTTAAATGAAAAAATCTTCTTGGCATTATCATTTTGGTTTAGTTATTTAATTCTTCATAATATTTTTAGTTTTATTATATTAATTTATCAACAATTTCAACGAAAACGAATTGAATATATCAGACGTTTAACAACATTATTTCCAGTAGATAAAGAATATTTAGAAAATTTTACAACAAATTATTTAACATATGATGGACTTTTTTTACTTCGTTTAATAAGTCATAATTCAAGTGAATCACAAACAATGGATATTGTTGAAAATATTTTTGAAAAATATCGAAATGAAAGAATAAATAAACTGCATACATGAATAATCTTTTATATTAGTTTTGTGTTTTTTTTTGTATTTTATCATGATAGGAAAATATATATGTTTATAATCATCTTTAAATATCACAACAATTATTAAGAGGAAGAAGATATGATCGATCGAATTGAACGTAAAGAAAGATAATTATATATAATAATAAAATAATCATATCGTTCGAAACATCTCGAAACTGATTTTATTAAATAAATCTCAAGGGAGAACAATCTGATTTCGTGATTTTATTTAAAATCTCAATAGAAACAAAGAAAACCGGCAAGAAATTATTAATATTCTAGAAAATAAATCTACATAGTAGAAATTAATTAAGTCACTTTTAGTGATGTCATGAAGAATTTTTGTTGATTCACAATGACTTCTATTTGCGTCTAGTAGTTTATGACAGTTTCCATGAAATTCTAACATCGTCAAACATAGTAGTGATTTTAGCGGTTAAAATCAGTTTGTCATATTCAAAAAACATAATCAAATCTTTATATTTTTTTTCTATGTAATAGAAACTAATCTCCGTAGTTATAAATAACTTTAGTTCCACTACTTAGATAATCTAACAAAATTCTTTTGATTCAATATAATTTAATCTTCATATATGAAAGTTTTCACAATATTTAAAGATCATCATGTATCTTCCGACATAAACAATCGTAATAGATTTATATTCTCTACGATCAACAAGAGAATCTGTTCTATATATATCCAGCCGATTAGTAATGATTGAATACACTAGTAAAAAAGATGATAATATGAACATATAATCGAGACATATTGATTGTTATAAAACTCTTGAAATTTTCTATCTGACGGTGATTACATATTCAATAAACAAAACAAAAAGAACGATAAATGACATTTGTCTGAAGGATTATATTCTATAAATTGATCAATAGATGTCAAAAGAAAGAGACAAATTCACTTTTCATCATTAATTTGTCAGTGACAATATAAGAAGAAGAAGAAGAAAAAACGAGTCTATTCGACAAGGTCTTAGATTTCTATGACGAAAAGATGTACTTGAATAGACAAATTTTCTAAATCATTAGTGAGAATTTGTCTTGTTTTAGAGGATAATATTAATCGTATGTTATGTTATTTTAATTTAATAACCAAGGAAAAAAAAGAAAGAAGAAGAAGAAGAAGAAAACCCTAATAATCGACATCTTCTTCTTTCTTTCTTTCTTTTTTTTATTCTTCAAGGCGAACAACAACAATAACAACATAGAAGTTATTGAGAAGGAAAAAAATGATGAGGCAAGACAAATAATTTATGATGCATGCAATCATAAGAAAAAAACATAGAATATGAAAATGTATATACGATCAGCACACTTGGTGTTCAATAGTATAACTACGCTATGCATTTTCGATGACTAAAATTAGTTTTATTAGTACTTTTTTTCTCAAGAGAAAAAAAAGCGATGGTCAATTTTCTTTTCTTCCTTCCTTTCTCTCTTATTTGGACACTCCTTTTTCGCTCTCTCTCTCTCTCTCTCTCTCTCTTCCATTCTCTTTCTCTCTTGTTCATCACTTTCGCTTCTTTGCTTGCTTGCTTGCATACATACATCGCACGGTTGGTTCCGTACAACAAAATAGAAAAAGAGAGTATCATTCTTGCCAATCGCAAGCGGTTACATCATAGGTATATTGAGGATAATGATGACGGCAATTTGCTGTTCTTTTATATATTAAAGATTGTTTAAATTGAACACGCCACATACATGTTCTATTCACTGATCATTTTGATCTATTATCATCATCACCTGCTGTTACACATATCAGCTTCATCCTTATTATTTACACTTCATGATGTACGATATACGTTATCTGATCGTGTATTAACAATACCAAAATTAGGTTCTATACGTGGAATTTATATTGATTATGAAAATGAATATTATAAAAAATATAATCTTGTTAATATTGAAGCATTTCATGGTATACAATATGGTTTATATCATGGACGATTTGAACCATCAAAAGAACGTTTTGATTTACATCCCGATACAAATGTAAATAAACAAATTGAATATGGACCAGCTTGTTCACAATATATATGGAGAAATGAAAGTGAATTAAGTCGAGTTCGAACAAAAGATTTTGCTGAAAAATATTATCCAAAATTATTAAAATATATTTTAAAACAAGATGAAGAACAATGTCTATATATGAATATTTATCAACCACAAATAAAAGATTTAAAAGGTAGGAACAATTTTTTTAATTGTTCACTAATGTATTGTATACATTGCTGAGATAAGCAGTTCTTTGTAGTAGACAATGATAATATTGTCTACTGATGTGAACTAAATTTATGCTCAATGATCGATGGTCCTGAGATGTCTATTCTATAGATTATATTGACCAGGCGCGCTAATAGAGATGACATTGTTGACGTACGTTTGATCTTTTCTACGCATATTAAATGATACAGTTCCATTAAGACGACGATCTTCTCAATCTCGAATGTATGGTTGATGGTGTTGACGTGAGAGAAAGATCATACTAATCTCATGAGACATTTAACTCAACAAAAAAAAATACAATAGAATGATATTAAATTTCTGTTTATGACAAGCAGCAGTTATTTATTTAATCTTATAAGAATTTATGTAGAAATTTTTTTGTTGTATCCTTTTAGAACGTCTTCCTGTACTTCTATTTGTTCATGGCGATGGTTATGATATGAGTACAGGTGCAGCTTTTGATGGAGCTATATTTGCTAGTTATACAAAATCAGTTGTTGTTACAATTAACTATCGACTTGGTCCATTTGGTAAGAGAAAACATACTGATCATCATTTTTCTTTTGAAACTATTGACTATAGAAATAGTTGTAGTAGACGTTTATCAAGGTTCTATTATTTCCTGTATATATATATCGCTCGATTGGTGATTGCCATTTCCGCTATACGCTATAGACTAGTCTCTTTCAGCGGGAGGCAATTATTGTTGATTAACTCACATTTGTCGCTCATCATGCAAACAGTGTCTAGTATTTTTTCAGTCTATTAAAAACAGTTATTCAACTGGATGAATGACCACGTCGATGGCATTAGGAATTCAATGTAAATGAAAACGAGATTAAGTTCATATAAAAGAAAAAAGATATATATACTATCATTTTGATTTTATTATTATATAAAGAAATCATAGAGGAGTTTATTTATTTAAATAATCGAAATCAAAAGAATTTTAATTGAATATATATAGACGTCGTTTTTTAGTGATGTAACTTCATATGTCTCTCATCAAAATTTTCTTATATCCGGAATGATATATGTTTATATACAATCATAGGAGATTAATGAAGAAAGATAATCAAAGCATAAAGATTCATTAATCAAACATTGTTCTCCTTCTGTCGTTATTGAAAAGTCAAAACCAATTGATAGAATAACATTTATCATATACTTGAAATCAAACAATAGACCATTTGTCTACAATAACATTTTTATCTCTGACGTCAAAATTGAATCAAAATTGTGTTTTTCTATTTCTCATGAAATATATATATATCTATCTACATATCGTGACTTCTATATCCTATTTTCAGCATGCAACTAACTTAATAAAATATCATCCATTATAATTACTTCTATTAATTTAGTAAAAATGTGATGACAAAATTTTTTGTCATTGCTATACTATCTACTTAACAAGCAGACGATAAGATTGTTTACATGCCCTCAATCAGTAGTAGTCTGTTATTGATCTGTTAACTTCTCACAGCAGTTGTTCACACTTTCTGATCAAAAAAACAAAAAGAAAAGAAAAGAAAAGAAAAGTATTTGTTTGATCTACAACAGAGACCACCTTCTGGTTCTATAAATATTCTTGAAATTTAATCTATTAAATGTCAAATATATACTGATTGAAGTTCATTAGACAAGTATTTTATAAGATTTGTTTTGTTTTTGTTCTATAGGATTTCTTTATGTTTCACGTGAAAATAAAGGTGATTATGCATTACAAGATATCTATACAGCTTTACATTGGCTTAAAAATTATGTGACAAATTTTAACGGTGATCCAGATCGGATTACTTTATATGGAACAGGAACAGGCGCTGTATTGGCTAGTCTTGTTGTTATGCTTGAAACTGTTAATGGTTTGTAAATTTTGTTATTAATATTTTTGAGATAACTTTCGAAACACACACGGAACTAAAAGAATGAAGTTATTTTCTCGACCTTGAAATGTTCCTATTCTTTATAATAAAATCAAGTCAATAGAAATGTCTGATAGTATTAGCAAGATCAATGTTACTATATTTGTACTTGTTCACATGAGTCATAGGTTTTATTTGAAAACATTGAAATAGCTTAACCTGTTCGAAAATTGCCGTACCCCCCTACGGCAAAATATTGCAATTGGATTTCTCGCATAATTATATATTCTTATAGGTGGTACCGGAACAATAAAACGACGAAAATCTCTTGTTCATCGTCTTATTTTAAATGAACAAACATTTCTATCACCACATATGACTTCTACACTACAAGAAATATCATCTTACCAATCAAATTTTCTTTCTTATCTCTCATGTTCAACATTACAATGTCTACGTAATCAAACATTGATTACAACAGATGATTTGCTACAAAAAACTACATATTCAAATGAAAATGGATATTTCAATTATATGTGTCCGTTAGAAAATCCATTTCCATTTTATCATTCTTCAATATTAAACAATGATTATATAAATCCATTACGTTTAAGATTTTTTCAACAAGCACATACACTTTTACCAGAAAATCTTCGTATACTTTTAACAACATCATCATCAATAACACGATCAACATTATCAGTACCATTCGATATAAAAAATCTTAATATGAATAAAACAATTGAATATTTATTTAATTATGCATATACAATTTGGAATAAAACAACAAATAAATTTCATTTCGATAAACAACTATTAAGTTATCAACAACAAATCATTGCACCCTTACTTGAATATGCTAAATATATATCAAATGAAAGAAAAATACATATCCTTGAGAGACATTCAAATAAATATCAATCGGAATTACCATTTACATTCGGATATGTTTTAGCACCATCAATGAGTGTCTACAATGATACATATTTAACAGCAGATGAAAATGATCGTAATGAAAGTATGTCTATGATGGATTTATTTGCAAATTTAATTCATAATGGGTAAGATTTATATTTCGTTAAAATAAACATATCTCTGTATTTTTTGATTAATAGTGATATTAATATAAAATCTCCATATTGTAAAAGATCGAATTCTGAAATCCTTGAAGAATGGCAACCTGTTTTTCCTGAATTAAATTTTATTCTTTTAAAAGGTAATTTAATTTTTATTTCCTTGATTAAAAACCTTCAATTCCTTGGAGATCTGTCAGAATTGTTTACTATCAAAAAAAAGAAAACTATGAATTTGCATGATATATATAGAAAGAAAAACCTATTGAAAGCTTTTCAAGATTCATCAATCTTCAGTCACGATAGTTTTTCTTCTAAATTAAAATATTTTGTTTAGATGATAAATTAACTCAACAATCTGGTCATTATGCACAAGTTCACTATCTTTTTAATAATCTTATATCTAATCTTTCTCATCGACCATTTCATATCGATCTATTAAATACATGGAGATCATTATATGATATGTCACATCAACATAATATTTCAACACAACGTTCATCATTAATACGTTCATCATTATTAACAAAACCAATTTATAATGAAAATAAAAATCTTAAATATATATTTATTATAACATTAAGTGTTTTACTTATATTAATAATAAATTTTCTTATCTGTATTCTTTTGGGCAGACGTGGACATTATTATCGAAAACGCGAATATAATTGTCTTAATGGTCATACACAATTAAATATTGAAAAAACCGAACAACATCATGGTGGTTCATCGCCATCTAGTACGAATAGTAATGGGACATTAGTACAACAATTGATTGTTAATACAAATTGTACAACAACAACGAATAGTAGTTTGAGCAGTACACCGCCTGTTGATATTTTACATCCGATAAATGTAACAAAGAAGAATGGTATATTACGAAGTTCTCCGAAACAGAAAAAACCTTCAGAATTACCTGAAGCAATTGTATAATATTCATTTCCTTTTTATTTCTTTAATAAATAACTTGTTTGAAACAATGAAAATAGAATCAAATGCGATGTGTATAACAAATAACAGTAACAAAGATATAGTAAAAAAAAGTATAAACACCCCACCCTCAGAAAGAGTATATCACTCATCAACAAAAAAAAGGAACTCTGTTAGATATTGTCGACATCAATTATTTCTCCATTGTATTC